TTTGATCATTTTCTCTGCATAAAGATTGCTGTTCCTCTGTCTTCACTTTTAATGGCATAATGAACACATGGCCATTCTTTTAAACGATTTCCCCCCAGTGCCTCTTTACCTGTTAGCTAGAATGCTTTGCAATATCTCCTGGGAATCCAGGATAATTTCATTTGCGCAGAGACTAATTTGTTTCTTGGCAGCCTTTGCTGTCCTTTACCTCTCCATCCATGATTGCAAAAAGCCACAGATCCATTTGGCTCCATGGGTCTCCGTCATGTACCTCCCTCCCTTTCTTATTGTCAGGGACAGCCCTGCTTACAGCGGGATGAAGAGACCTGTGTTCATAGATAAAGGTAGCAACTGATGTCTTATGGTGCAGCAAAACTTTCCAAAATGATGGCCCTAGCAGAGGGAGGCGAGTGCCATTTGGACCCAATTTCAGGCACCAAAGTGTTTTCAGATTGCGCCATTTATTGGCCTCTCTTTCACTCCCTTTTGTTCAACATCTAGCATTTCATGGCTACATACAGTCTACAAATGTGTCTCCTGCCTCTCCACCCAAGCAGGAGCAACTTACACAAGGTCAGCCCAGTGGAAATGGGACTACCTAAAAGTTGCCATCTCCTTGTCTGGTGCAAACAGGCCACAGCTGTGGATTTGTCACTGTAGTTTAGAAAGCTTTACTCCACATATTGAATGCCTTGTCTGTGCACTGGAGAGACTTGAGGAATTCAGTTTCCACAAATGCGGAAATGAACTGGTTTGATCCATGCCTTCCGGATGGGGGTCGCAACACTCCTGCGGACAGCCTTCCCTCTTCTGTTTGTTGGAATTCTCATGCCTACCCCTCGCTTAGCAGGGCAGCTGAGCTGAGAGGATGTCCTCAAACCCATGTAGAATGCCAGTTGCATAACCAGCGACCTTCCTCTGCAGCCCATGTGGCACAGATGAAGCCTGTGGGTCACATGTGCAGAATAGCCATGTGTGAAGTCACTTTCTGGTAGATGCCCATGCGGGTGCTGCCAGGACGTCAGACTCACGGCCACAAGAAAGCAGGCCAAAGACTGGGGGAGGGGGGCAGAGACCCAAGGAATCCACTGGATCCCCCCCCACACACACACAAATGGATTCCTCACACATCTCTTTTCCACACCAATGGGAAGATTGGAACTTGATGATACACCAGCTTTTAGACTACCCAGCTGGTTCCAGATGAATCTTGGCTCAAAATAGTATTACAGTTTAATTACTCAAAATTAATATTTTGGAATATATGAACATTGCATTTCAGTGCGAACCAGGGTGCTGTAGTGCTTAGACTGTGGGACTTGAACTGGGGTGACCCAGGTTCAAGCCCCCTTGTTCATGAAGCTCATTCTGTAGTTTTGGACTAATCACTGACTCTCATCCTAAACTACCTCACAGAGTTATTGTGAGCATAAAATGTACAAGATGATGGACCCTTAGTAACAGACAATCAAACAAGTATTTTGAAAGAATATATTCTTTAGGAATATATTTCCTAAAGAATAGGAATGTCTATTCCTAAATAGGCGGGAATGAATGCATTTAGGAATGCCTATTTTCTTAGAAAATGCCTAATTAAATAAATGATTTTTTTGAATAAAATACTAACGATGCAGAAATGGATGGAATGGACAAATACGTGGATTCCTGTGAAAGTGACACAGATGTGTTTTGCAAAAACAAGAATGCTGCAACATGTGGCTGATGGCTTCGTATATTGATGGGCCATAGGCTGTGCAAGCCTGGCCCAAGTCTCCATGTCCAGCTGCACTGCAGTCCACAACGTTGCCACCAGCCTTCCCCTCTCTGCTCTGGGCCAGGTCTGTTGGAATATGGATTGCAGTGGTGCTCAGCACTGACCGTGTGGCTTGGGGTTGAATCTGAGAACATCTGGAGAACAACAAGTCAGGGAAGGCTAGTCTCCACCCATTCACAACAGTCCTTTTAAAAAAAATCTGCCACCCCAGGAATAATGCAAAAGATACAGCAGGGTGCCATCTCAGGACAAGTAAAACAAACCGGAAGAGTTTGGACAGCCTCAGAGAGTAGTCAAGATGTTGTTTTCCCATACAATAGACATGCCTGGTCCTGTCCATGCTGTAGTTGTGATTATTTTTCCACATGAACATTTAACCTGAGGCTTCTGCTACTGGATTTTTTGTGGGATTAAAACAGTGCTCCTACATGTGCTTTTTTCTGGGATGTGTGTCTTTGGCTTTCTATTTGTTCCATTGCACTGCCTCTAGGTGGGACTGTAGTATAGAGGAACTGTACAAATGCACAAGGGTTTTGTGCCAACATTTACAGGTAATACCAGTCTTCTTTCAATCTAAACAAACAAAAAATGGTTGCAAAGAACAACACAGGCCCTGGAGTGTATTGACAGTATTGTGTAAAGTACCAGCAAACTACAATGAGTGAGGAAACACAATCACACAATAGATACCCTATGTAAAAAGGCTCTCAGTGTAGTGATCTGCACAGTGATCTGTCATAGATGCTATTCACTTACCTTGAGCAAGTGTTTTGGGCTCCCCAGACTCAATGTTGATGCTACTTGACTCCAAGTAGCATCTGGGTAACCATAATGAGCCCAGCACACATTTTTGATGACGAATCAGCCTGTGAAGATAGCGTATTTTGTAAACCTCTCATATACTTTGGAGGAAAGCAGATTGTGTGGACAGCTGGTTTTGACCTCAAGTATCTCCCTGATTAGAGAACATCTCCCCCACCAAGTAGATGGATGCTGAACTTCTTATCAAGGAAAGTGAACACCGGAGGCATAATTTCTTTTACATTTCTGAAAATCAGATGCTGAACATCATTTGTATTCTGGGAAATAAATATCCCTGTGATATATTTATCTCTGCTGTAATCATAACTGTCTTGAAGGTAGCAGTGTTTCTTTTTGTAAGCCTGATTCCGTTCATCATAAAATACTTTTATTGACAGCAGAAACCAAATGCTTTAATTTATGTCCAGCTAGGGGACATTTAATTAAGATAGCTTGGCATTGTCTATTAATAAATAACTGAAATGTGAGCAACAAAAGCTTTATACAAACAATTTAAGGGATGAATGGCCCAACATTAAATATTGACAAGGACTGAAGACACTTCGAGCACACTCATTGAATAGTGTGTGAGGAATGGCTCTAAGCAAGCTGAAAGGGCCACGGTAGAGGAAGGCCAGGGGAACTAGTATCAATAGCTGAGCTGCCAGGGAAGATCACCTGAGCTGGGCTCAGAAAACACTTCCAGGGCTATATTGGGATTGACCGGAAGTCATTGTGCTGAAGAACTAGCCAGAACTGCTCGCAGTGTCCATTACAGTGCTCTAAATTAACAGCACGAGACCACATAGCTTCCAGGCTTGTATTCCTGTGAGAAACCCTGCAGTCAAGCAAAGACCTCGACAGGTAAACAGGTACCAGGTTCTCTGGGCTGTTCACCTCATATACTGCATTCCTTAGATAAGGATGAACTAGAATGCCCCCTCCCTCCTTTTCTCTTTAGCTGGTGGCTTTGAGCACTTTTAGGAAGGAGAAATACCTCTACAAAATCTATAATGCAGCTAGATGGGATTGGCTTTCCATGTGACACTGAAGGTCACAGGTGTCCAGGCAGCTCAGTGGCCTCAGGTGATGTCCATCATACAAGGATGCCCCATGAGCTAAAGGCATGTGTGTGTGAGCCTGGCTTTACTTGTTTATTGACCATTTACATTCATCTCATGTCAATATATTTGTAGGCAATAAAGCATAAGTGGCTTTGCTTCTTCCTGAATAAGCTGAAATCTAACGTAGACTGCCTTGGTTGGGCAAGGCCCCTGCTGTCCAATTCAGGGACATCATCAAAACCTCCCTCAAAGAAGAGGCAAGGTTCGAGGGTAGCCAAATCCGTCAATTTAAATCTATGCTGGATAATCACCTGCTTTTCCCTTGCAAGACTCTCCTTATTCTCATCCAAGGTCATGGAGTGGCTTCCATAAGATGCGGGACCCTGCAGAGATACAATCTGAGAAGTGGGGTTGGGGTCCAACTTCCTGCTGAGCACCTGTCCCCCAGCATTGCATTTTGCCCTCACGAAATGCATCCCCAGGGAAGTAGCTCCTTTCTCTTGCGTGAGGGTAGGGGAGCCCTACAGGGTATCCAAGGGTGTGCTAGAGGGCCCCTATTCTGCTGAAGACCAGTGGAGAATGCCAGCCCTTCTAACCTAGAAGGTCCCCCCCTTGCATGAGCAAGTGGTTTGTTACGTTGCAGAGGATGGGGCTTGAAACCCAAGGGAAGTTAACTGACAATTCAGATCGACTCAGATACATCACACACTCATGCAGACATATATATGCCATCAGAAGATCTCAGGAAATTCTTCAGTTAATCTTAGCTATGCTCTATAAAGGTTGCCTGTTTCCAATTAAGGGTACCACAGAAAATATTCCTGATCACTCTTCTTACTTCTTGACCTTGCTCCTGGTAAACAACACAACAGTAAATAAGGCTGTCCTTCAAGCCCTTGGTATTACTAAGACGTGCTAACATTGCCATTTTACTGGGACTGTGATTTGTGATGTTCCTTTGAGAGAATCTTTTTTGGGAGGCATCTCCAGAATCAGCTTCCATTGACAGTTCATCAGGTCCTTTCTTTATAGGCCTTCAGGAAGGGGCTGAAGACCTACATCCCCCCCCCCCCCCCCCCGGCCTTTCCATAAGTTCTTGGGCTGCATGTTTCATTGGTGCCATCTTTTTCATAATGTTATGGTATTTTACTGCCTATTTATTGCTTATTTGTATATTTATTTAAGGATTTATCCTTAAATGCCTGAAAATAATTTTAACAGTTTATAAGTGTGGCTTAAAAATCTAAAATACCCATAACTACATGCCAAAACAGTGTTGACGTCGTTTGTGTTTTAAAAGTCATTTTCAAAGAAATCGGAGACTTTGTTCCTTGTAAGCTTTGTTGCTCCTTCTTTCTTAGGATGACGGGATACTCTGCTTAGCGGACATCCTTACTGACAGCACGCACTTGCAAGCAACCCACGCAGAAGCAGCAGCTGTAATAGCTCAGATTACATCTCCTCAGCTCACCTTCACGCAGCATCTCAGCAGCTTCCTGGAGAACATGGAGGAAATTGTCACAGCACTTCTCAGTAAGTATATCTGAATTTTTATTTATTTATTTATTTAAAACATTTCTATGCCGCCCCCATCGCAACAAAGCCTCGGGGCGGCTCACAAAGAATATATAATGCTGTCTGTTCTGTGCAAACTGGCAAACCAAGCTAGAGGAAACTGGTTCTCTAAACAGAATTCTCCACTTTTTCATTAGTAGCAATAATCTCAATAAGGGCTTGAGCGTCAGAGGTCAAATATAATTTCTTTTACAGAAAACCACAAGTGTCTGAGATGTGAACATTGTGTCTGGTGACAGAACTTTATTCCGAACATGCCTTGAAGCTGAGGGTTAAAACATAAAAAAACAGATATAAATTGTACTTTTTATTACTCCCACCCTTGCCCAGGATCTAATGTTCACTTTTTGCTAAGTGAAGAACAGTGTATGTTGACCTTTGTTGCATCCTGCCTAATATTTCTATTAATGCTGATACTAGTAATGATAGTAATAATGTTTCCACACTTCCCAAAGCTCCTTGACTGGTTTACAAAACAGAAAACCAATTCATATGCAAAATGATCCAAATCACTCAACAATAGCTATCCTGGGACCATTTAGAAACCTTATCCTATGCAGTTACATAGGGCAAGTCTTAACCTGGAATGAACAGGATAACCGCGTTGGTACCCTGCAGACTTTGTGGGGCACAGGGCTTAATGATCAGGGAGCCCCACCAAGAAGGTGCTTTGCCTCGTAGCCACCTCTGCATGTCAGTTGGAAAAGCGGCCTGGAAATAGGCCTCAAGAGGACAATGGGGGAATTTTCGTAGGACACGGGAGCGTCAGCTGGTTCCTTGGGTGGGTGCTGTTTATCAATGCTTTATCAACCATTCTTTTATTATCATGTTTTCTAATTGTGTCTTAATGAGTTTGTGTTATGATTTGTTTAGTTCTTTTTAAATGCTGGGTCCTATTAATGATATGATATGAGTATGTTAATCATAATAAATTAAGACTAATCTTAACATTAACAAAATGGGTAACATTTTAATGATGTAAAGTGGGGGATATGTCAATAAGCAGATGAAGTTTGCTGCTTTGTCAGTTGCTCAGGCAAGTTCTTAGTCTTTCACAACCTGTTACCCTCCAGAGGCATCAGACTACAGATTCTATCATCCCCCAGCCAGTCATGGGTGAAGGGATGGTTAGCTCAATACAACCAGAAGGCACCACAATGGGAAGGCTGCCCTAGAATGTGGCAGCTGCCCATATTTTCAGTTAGAGGTTGCTATCCCTGCTTCCTAAAGTTCATGCCTGCTGGAACATAGACAGGGCTGGTTTAATGCAAAGTTTGTTTCATGGAATGGAACCTCTGCAGTTTCGTTTGGCTGTGGTTGTTTTTAAGAAAACACGTGCCTATTCTACACCTTGATTTTGTTTACATGTTTAATAGATGGTGATATTTTGTAATTCTTGTTAACAAACCTGCTTCTTTTGTCCTGATCTCTTCCTCAAAAAGTTGCAGACTGCTCAGATGAGCTAATTAACATGGCTATGTTAACTATTTTGATCAGGGTAGACTGTGAGAAGTAAATACTTGTGTTACTTCAGCAGCAGGCTGAAGAGGACTCAAGGCTAGACTTTATTCTTTGATTTTGAGGGAAGCTCTTTGGCTGTAAAGCTACAGGGCACAGAGCATAGGAATTTAGACAATCAACAACACATTTGAATAAGGCATGGGAGGTGCTCATAATAGCAGAATGTAGCCATCAGAGTCTAGACAGGTATTCCTGCTTTCAAAGTTTAATAGCTGTCAGAGAGGAGATACAATTAGTTACCTTGAAAAAGTATATTGGAGAAAGCATTTGGATAATCTCTTTTCTTCTGATGTTCTGATTTGATAGTTTTTAAAATGCTAGTATATTCTATTATGCATCACTTTATGTTCTTTTTATTTGCATTTTGTTTATTATGCATGTGCTCATAAAGTATTGGAGGTATACATGATGTTCAAATGTATGTGTCTGGGAGTAAGCCCTTTGGAACTCAGGGGAAATCACTTCCCAGTAGATATGCAGTGGATTGCAGTATTGATATCAAGGATTTCAGTGGCCTCAAAAACTGTTAAAAACCTGGATCCTGCTCATAGTGCTTCTGTAAAAATAAACCCAAAAGGGACAAATTCACCTGTGGGATCAATTGTACTTCTCCAGCTTAGGGTTTAAAATCTTACAGTAAAATCTTTTGCATTTCTATTCTGAAGTAAGTCTCGCCAAGGACAATGGAATGTACTTCCAGTTCAGTGCCAATAAATTTTATTAATTTATTTTCTCCTGATAATGTCCAAGCTCATTTACTGTTGCACTAGATGAACTGTTTTTATTTAAACAGATAAACTGGTATGTTACACTCTTCTTATTTGTTCTTAGTGTCTAAGTCAAAGTTCTTGAATTATTTCTAGGCCATCTTTAACGATGGAAGGCAGAATATAAGGCAAAAGCTTACACATACTTGAATGCAGATGGCCTTGTGTCTGAACATTTGTTGATGGAACAAGAGAACATGGCTGTGTTCAAACAGTGCTATCCTGATCATGGAGCAGCAGCCATGAACTCAGAAGAGGGCAAAGGCAATTTTTACAGATTCTGCTTTCCTGTATCCCCTAAAATCAGTTTGACAAGGAAGAGTGGATGCTGTATTGGAGAACAGGGAAATTGGTGGCTTTGTCCATTTGAGGAGGTATCCATATTCCATGCCTATTCCTTCCCTTTGGATTCCACAGTGTGTTTCCATTTGCTTTTATATTTTGAACCAAGCAGCTATCAGTCAGGTGTGGTTTAAACGCTTCAGTTATGGCTAGACTGGAGCATGAGGAGCTGCAGTAAGAATCGTAATCAGGGGGTAGGCATGCTGTGAGAACATCTTGGGAAAGATTTAGATTTATTTCTCTTGTCACCACCAAAACATCTCCTCATTTAGACAGGTCCAGCTATGTCTAAGTATATTTAGAAAGAAATGCCTGCAACTTTGAGGATGGTGGAATCTTTCCACTAATCAATCACCAATTTCTCTATCGTATTTATAGCTGAGTAATGGAATTACTTTTGTTATATATTTAATCTTTAGACCACAGTGAAATCAAATTGCTGACTGAGTCAGACCTTAGTTAAAATAAATGTGTATAGGAATTAAAAGGCACTTAAGAAGGTTATAATAATAATAGCTGTGTCGGCAGCATTTTAAAGAAGATTTCAGCAGAAAAAAATTATACCAGATATTCTTAGGCGTCAAAGACATGGTTGTAGTGATAGCAAGACAAACTGCAGAATTATACTCTCACTGAACAATTAGTTTTAACTGTCTGCCCATACGATTTCATTTTAGTCAGTGATGTAACATCATCTTGAACAACCTCCAATGTGGACTGCTAAGTGTGCTAGCCCAGGCCACTAATGAAGTGAGTGCTCACTGCAGGCTTCATTCTTGATGCATCTTCTTGGTATAATCAGTGGCAATGCTTGATCTCCATAATAAATATTAGTAAGCAATTCAGGGAATGAAAATACAGTGTGTGTGCTAAGTGGTGGAAGGCTGGCTGGATGTTTGTCATGCGCAAGTGATAAGGGCACGTTAAACCAGAGAAATGTGTAAGGGGCTTTTAGAGTGCAAAGCTTTCAAGGCTGGGCAAGGAAGTGATGGATTTTAATCAAAACCTGGAAGGGTAGCCACGTCTGAGTGATGGAGGAGAGGTAGCATCACTCAGTGGCATAACTGCAAGGCCCATTTATGCTGCAACTGCTAGTGTGGCGCTCCAGGCTGGTTGGGTGTCCCCATTTGTTTTAGTGGTGAGACTCCATCAGTTGCAGCATTATGTGAGGGTGGACTTGGCCTCTCCACTGAGAAAAGTTCTTCTAGTGTGGCAACTCTTTGTTTGCACCGGAGCACTCAGGGACATCCATAATCACTGGATTGGGTATCAGGCAGTCAATTGGGGGGTACAGGCAAGCCCTCTGGAAGCTGGTGCAACCACAAGGTATATTTCGGCTGTTGTGCAGTGGTTTCTAGTGGCCAGAGGATTTGGTGGAGCTCCCCTCCAAGGACCCAGAGAAAGGAATCTTCCCTGAGAGGGGCAGATCTAATGGTGGATTCCTCTCCACTGCAGACATGCATGTGGCATGTTGGACCATTCGGCACCAGGAAAGGGCAAAGGAAGCCTGCCAGGGCAGCTTTCTTGGCCTGAAACAGGATGCTGATCTGTGCCCAGCACAGAGCCAGCACCATCAGCTCCCTCCCATTGCTTTCAATGGGAGAGTTCTGCCAGTAGAAAGAACAAAACCCAGCCTTAGGGAGGGAGGCAACAGTGGAATTGCTGTTGGGTTGCTCAGGGAGGGATTTGGGCTGGCCGCAGTTGTGGCGTAAGAGCTCACATGCGCAGCAAAGAGAGCCGCCATGTAGGCATTTCAATATGGTGTGATGCAACTTTGTAACATTTGCTGTGTTCTTGCTGTTACACAAACTTTTGATGGCAACACAAACCAGGGACTCATGCACCATGGAATGCACGGAGCAACTGGAAAGAAGGGCATCGCTATACAGGCCTTGAGCTGCTTTGAAGGAAGAATCAAGTTAAGGTGAAACATAAATGGAATATGGACCTTTTTGCAACTAAGAACTGGTCCCAGCCTTTTATTTTTTTTCCTCCTCCTTTTTCCATTTTAGGTTATTGTCTTTGAAATTGTAACTCTGTCTTGTATGAATTGATCTTTGAGCCGCTGTTGGAAAGGGGTGTGCGAGTGCAAATGCTTCATGGCCTTTGAACAGAATCCAGGCAGCCATCAGACTTGTCGGAATCTGACCCTGGAAATCTGCTCCAAATTTGGAGCATCCTGCTTTCTCCCTCAAGGCCAGCTTGGAAAGAGTTGCACCAGCTCCAGCTCTGGGGTTGCAAGAAGCGGCACCTCAGTCTGGTCAGCTTGCGATTTGAGGTGCAACAGGTAGACCTTCCTCTCCTTCTGCCTTATAGGAAGCAAATCCTACTCAGAGTCCTGGTTGGATTGCACCCTAAATGAAGTGGATAGGTGGATAAAGCCTCTCAGTTTGTGATTAGATGATCCACTGCTTTTAATGCAATGCCTTTATTGTATTGTTCTTTTACACACCTAGAACTGTGCCAAGAGGCTGTCTCTGGAGAGGTTTTCCTACTGGCTTCAGCTGCACTTGCCAACATCACATTTTTTGATACAATGGCCTGTGAGATGTTGCTCCAGCTGGATGCAGTGAGGATTCTTATAGGAGCTTGCGGGGACAAGCAGAAAGTGGATAGCCCCTATTCTCGAGACCAGGTAAGTGAAGGCACATTTGTACATTGGGGTAGCAGCTGATGCTCAGGCCTGTCTTGGTTTAAGCCTTGAGACTGGGTCACAGATGCACCAATAGTAAAGGAGTAAATTCTACATCTTCTTTTCCTTCTCCAGCATCAGAATATACTTATTTTATGACAAGTGGTGAATAACGAGCATACTCAGTAACAAGATATGAGAGCAGTGGATACAAGGAAAAGTCTGTATGTGTAATAACTGACTAGTGCATTGGATGAAAATATAACTGCAGAAATGACAGAAACATCATCTGAGGGACCAAGAATACAGTGCAGTTATAAAGATACTAGTAATCTGCACAAAATAATGAAACAAGTATGTGAAACATATCATGTATATGACTGAGCCCTAAATTACATCCACCAAAAACACACATTAGTGAAAAGTAATTGAATTTTATTATACTTCCAACTGTGTCATTGTTTAATCTGAAGATTAAGGTTAAGATTTATTGCTACCTCTCACAAGTACAGGAGACAGGTTCGCGTGAGCTCAGGTGAAAGCTGAGGATATCTGCTCCAGGATGCATTGTATAGGATACCCAGACGAGAAAATTAAGATTTTTATGAATTTAACTAATTTAACTAAAATATTGATCTTTCTGCCTCACAAGGGAATAGACAGAAATAAAAATATCAACTTAAGAAAACCGTACAAAAGGAGGTATTTAAACATTGTTCTTGAACCAAGCAACCCACTTAATCAAGCTGTTTCAGAAAACTGCCCAGGGAAAACTGAAATGAGGACATATTCAAAGCAAGAACTCCTTTCTCTCAGGGAGAAGTAGGCATTCTTTATAAATGTGTGGTGTCCCCAACATCCCAGAGCAAGCCATATGTCTAGGTGCACCGGTTGCTGGGGAACATGGATGGAAGGGTGCTGCTGCACTTGTATCCTGTTTGTGGGTTTTCCACAAATAGATGGTTGTCCTCTGAACTCAATAGCCTTGATCCAGCAGGGCCCTTCTCCTGTTCTTAAGCAAAAATCTCCTAGCAAAATTGGAGCTAAGGAATGAAGTGAAGAAGTGAGTTCTGGTACTGAGATGCAGTCTCTTTTTGGTCCAATGACAACCTCATATTTTCCTTCATACTGACTGGCCTTTTCTCTTCCCTTGACTTGTCTCAACTAGAAGTGTGTTTTTTGACTGCTGGGTGGCTTGATGGGCACTAGAAATACAGTTTTCATTATTTTAGGGTCTTGATATGGTCTTGATGTGATGTGTGCTTTAAGGACTTCCAGCTCCTGTTTGGTTGGTGAGAAACACGTGAGGCCCATGAAGGTAATCTTAAGCAACTGTGGCGCATGAACAGCCTCATGTTTTGTCTTCTTCCAGATATAAAGTCACAATCTGGCTTTATTAGTGTTTTGGCTTCCTGTATTTCTCACATTCCAAAACCCAGGCAAGGAAGGCTGGCATGTCTTGTAAATCAAGCCACTAAATGACCAAATGTTGTCTTCTATTCCACTTCACTGCTCCTGCAGTCCTCTGTCTCCAGTAAACTTGAACCCCCCCAAGAGTAACCTAAGACAAATTTATATGACTGCAGGAATCTGATATATAAATCTAGAACAAGCTCATAAGTATGAGCTTGGAAGAAAGGGGAAACAAACCACCCATTTACTCTGCTTAATCCCTGTAACTATGCAGACAAACCAATTACTGTAAAATGGCTTTTATCTGCTCTATCTGTTTGATTGTTTTTCACCCTGAACAAAATCCTTAAGATCCACCATGAAACTTCCCTGGGGCATATTTTGTATTATTTTGAATAAACACAATGATAAATGTTGAGTGAAAATAACAACTTGGAGTAAGCTTTAGTAAATCCTACCATATGTTTAGAGAATACATTAGACTGTGCAGTGACCTGGAAAAAGTGCTTAAAAATGGAATTTTGTGGCAACCACTTGGGATCTACCTAATCTCTGCAGTTTCTAAAATGCAATAACTCCTCAGGCATGGGCTAAGAAATCTCCACAAAATTTCTGATTTTTCTTTTTATAAGACAACATTTAAAGGAAAAAACCTTCAAATTAACTGTTATACCAGGTAAGCAGAAGAGTCTGGGCTACAACAAATAGGATCAGGTGTTAGAGAGTTATGAAAAATCAGTATACACACTCAGATGTGTGTGTGCACATGCACACTTAAACACACATCTATTTCTGCTCAGGAAGTGCAAGGATGAGTAAAATGGAGGCAGTTGTGGGCGGGAAGCAGAGGCAAGATGTGATGGGCAAGCATTCCAAACAAGCCCATGCCCTGTTACGTCCCCCAGTCATAGCAGAAGAGGAGAGTAGGAAGAGAGGGAGCCCCTTTGCCGGCATGTTGCCCTGTCAGATAGATGGGCAGATATTGAGAAAGAGAGGAAAGGGACAAAAGTAAGGAACGAGATAACGTTTCCCCCCCAAATACCTGTGTATTTTTGTATACACCATTGTATTATTGGTATACCATTTCCCATAATGTTCCATCACAACATTTGAAGATGTGTAAAAACTCAGGAATAACTGCATTCTGGGCCATGAGTTAGTTTTAGAAGTGCAAATTAGGTTCAATTGTATTCGGATGTGAACCAAGCAGATTTTTGCTCCTATTGGACTGAACAGAAGTGAGCAGAGCATTGGATGCAGGTAAAAGGCTTAGCAGCAACTCACAATTGTTTTCAGTGCGGTTGCAAAACTGAGCTACCCTATTGCTCTGAAAAGTTATGCAATCTTTCTAAGAAATCAAACAGTTATGGGTAGTTATTGCTATAGTCAAAGAAGATATCATCCAAGACTTGAGAAGACAGGGTAAGTTAAAGCTCAGCTTTGATCAGATCGCAGTATCAGTCCAAGCATCCAAGCCAAATCAGCTTCCTATCAACATGAATTTGGTTGGTTCCAAGGGTGTTTTGTTTTGTTTTGCACAATCCTATTGGATATGAGCGTCTCTTGCTTCTAAAAAAATCTCTAAGTGGTTGGTGTAGTGGTTAAGAGTGCAGGACTGGCACGCAGGTGATCTGGGTTCTGGTCCCCACTCAGGCATGGAACCAAGTGGGTGACTTTGGGCCCATTGCAGACTTTCATCCCAGCATGCCTCACAGGGGTGTTATTGCGGGGATAACACTGAAAGCATCAGTGGGGAAAGCATCAGGAGGAGAAATAAATAATAAACAAACAAATAATGCACCTCCTGAGTACCAAGGGAGAGGGCACTCCATAAGATTGATGCCGCTGTGGAGAAGATCTACTTCTGGATTGTTGCAAGGTGGCATTCTGCGGGCCATGGGACAACCAGAATGTCTTCCTCCGACGCTCTTAAGGTTTACTCAGGTCTGTATGGGCCAAGGTGATCTGCCAGGGCAACGTTATATGGCAGCTGCAAGACTGAAGGCTAAAAGATAGCATCTTTATTGAAGGCCGTGTGGTACATGTACAAGCATGTGAAATCTCATGGAGGAAGTGGTTTCTGACATGCCTGTGGGCTACCTTGCACTGATCCTGACCTGTATACCTATGAGAAAAAGTTAATCTATTCCTGCAGTTGAGAATGAAAGTAAACCTTATAAGAATGACTCTGAATAAGCTGTGGAAATTTTAAAATAGGGAAATCAAAGGAGACTTTCTTTCAGAAAACATTTACTAAAAAAATAAGATGAAATTGTAAAGGCTCTTTATACTGAAAGAGTAGTATGTTCATATATAACATATCCTCACTTTTGAAAAGACATTGATCCCTACACTGTTAGGAATTGGATGTGCTGGTTTTGCTTCAATAACTTTGTGTGTACCCATTTTCTTTAATGCTTCAAAATTGGAAAAAATATTATTTCCCTATGAAAAAACACACATTTGTTATTATTCATGAAGAAATTATTCTGAAATGTCCATGCATTAACTCATCAACTACTATAAATAGAGTGAAAATGGAACTTACCTACAGCAGTAAGATACTGTGAATTTTGTCACTGGTAGAAAAGGAGGATGAGCGGGTGATTTTCTGTCCCAGCAATTATACCTGAATTATTGTCTACTGTTGAACAGTTTGATAATGGGATGGATGGAGAAAAGTTTGGTGTACAACATGCAGTTAAACATGCAGATTTTGAGTCCCTAGGAGCTATTTTTTCTTAATTAATCTGAAAAATAAGAATTCTATGTATGCTACACACATTTTCAACCATTTGTTCCTTTAGGGTTCAAATTGGGTAAAAAGTGTTCAAGTAATAGCGTTTAACTGCTATACCGACTAGTAAGCAGACTCTAAAAACATTTTTTTCTTGACAAAGAAAGGCTAATAGATTATCAACATAAACTTTGTCTCTGGCTACCCTTGTGATCTAACGCCCTCCTGAAAGTTTTGCACTCAGCTTCTTACAACTGTGTAAAAATGTATGAATGTATATGAGTATAAAGAGAGAGAAGGAAACCCATAATGCATGTTTGATTATAGCGCACCAGCTCGTCAGTAAAAACAGAGCAAAAAGTAACTTGTCCAACTGACCCTTTCTCCCCCTACCCTCTTTCCTTTTAACCTCTATATCTGATGATGAAAAATTGCACGTGGGAACCCTATTTTCACAGGAGCTAACTTAGACCACAGTTATATTTGCAAACAAGTTTCACCTACATCAATGAGGGTAAGGATACACTGTGCTAACCTATAAGAGATCTACAGACATTCAACTACTTGGATATTATCAGATTTGATAATTCATTGAATAAAATATTGTGCGCCTAAGAAAAGTAGCAAATTAAAAATAGCTCTGCTAATAGCTCGCAGTACGTCCAAGCTTGATTTGAAATAGAGGAACATGTCAAAGAATGGAATAGTTGATTTGGGGAGGAGGCAATAGCTTTCTGTTTATTCAAGACAAACACCTACAACAAAAAAAGCCCAGTCCAAATTATTTGCACATGGAATAGATTTGTTTATTCTGAAAACTGAATGAGCTTGATCATGAGATGAGGAATTACAA